AGATAGCACCCAATATTCAGACATTTGGACCATGTGTTGAATTATGTCAAATATGGGTGAGTTGGAAGAAACAATTTTGATTAAGCTTACCCAGAAATGATTTTCGTAGTCATGCTCCATGATGTCAGCAGCCATTGTTGCGAGAGCGATTTGAAGGCTATTCACATGGAACACTAGAAGGCTCTGGAAACTTTTACTATGAAAATTGAAACATTTTTAAAAATCACCATAATCGCTTCGAGCATGAGCAATAAAACGTACACAATCGACAAAAGCAAATGCTCATAACTGTTCGTAAAAATAGCAGAATCACTCAGGAAGAAGAATCAAACAAAAGTAGTAATTATAAATTCAAATATCGTCGCAAACGTTGTGCTGCGGGCGATGAGAAACACAATCACTATTAAAACCCGTATTCGGACATACTTAGTAAAAAGTTGACAAGAAAGGGCGGATAATAACGCGAAAACACTTCCCAATACGCACAAGAGGCTAGCTGAAGTGGAATGATCAAAATAAATCGAATTTAGTCACTGAATTATAAAAGTCCGTAGTTGCGTAAGTACAGTACACCTGTGACGCGCAGAAAAATATAATCCATCACGAAAAGCAGTGGATGGATGGCTTCGGTTCGCGACCTTTTCAGTGAGGCGCTGGGGCCGTTTTGGCGATCGCATGTGGCTAGGGGGGGGGTGAAGCAGCGCGTAATATTGCTTCAGATTCACGCTCAATTCAGGACTAGAAGAGGGAATCCGAGATGCGTAAGCATTCACAATCTCTCCGGAGTTCGTCCCTCTCCGTTAGGCTGTCTTAGTGGCTTTCCTACAGATTGCCTCCTCCAGAGGCACATTGGGCCGTCCTTTTTATTGGGAAACACATGTAGAGTTCCCGGCGACGCTTACCACAGTTACTCAGCGTCGATGTTCCCTACCGCGTCCTGGTAGCTGCCACTACTGCAGGAGAGAAATCCACTCGTAAGCCTTAAAAGGTCTCATTCGTCGAAGGGATGCGCTGCGACAGTTCATGTCATCCGAAGTAATTTTTTACGAGGAAGGACTCCGGGTTGGGTGTAAAATCGGAAGCGAAGTGGTTTACGAACACTGGGATCCCTCCTCCTGCAAAAACTGGAATTTCTGTAGGGCAGCAGCAGTATGGCGGTGCATGCCCCCCCTCATTAGATGAGTGTTAGAACCGATTTTTTGTGTGTATGTGTAAGCACACTATTGTGACACAGCGTGCTTCGGAGAGCAGTCCGTTATATTCCGCCAATGTAACCGTTGTTGAAGGCTACCTCACCTTCAGAGCAATGAGGCCTGTTATGACCGATGCCAGACTATGGCCATTCGAGCAACATGCACGACTTGCCAAGGACTTCGGGTCGGATCTGCGCCGATTGCTGAATAGGCGGATATCTGCCGAATCGTTCGAAATCGCCTAACCGATAAGCGAATGCCTCACACCGACCACTCAAACTGGCTCTCGAAGACCTTCACCAGCCCTCCCCTAACAATAACCATGACCCTAATTCCAACCAAACCTTGCTGAACCCCCATCTCATCCTAGGGTAGGGTTAGAGTAGGGTTCCGGTCGGGCCCTACCCGAGTGGTTTTTTCTGATTAAATCTTCTCCTCTGTGTATTCATGTTTCTGAATCATCAGGCCCCCAATACAGTAGTCTATCTGCTTTGTTTGCATGTCTGCTTCCCTTTTATTTCCGTTATACTAAGTCGAAATCCAGATTCACATCATAGCTCCAGTCGACGAGAACGACCACATTGGTTCGGGAAAAATTTCTCCTCAAAGGCCAACAGAATCAACCTCATTTGAATCAAATATTCAGTCACGATTGTTCTGTCTATGCTCCACCAGTTTTTCAACGTCTTGATGGTTGAAGAACTACTGTTCGCGATCTAACGAGATAGCGGTCTATCATAGAGTTCTGGTAAAAGCCCAAATTTGAAAAAAAAACAACAACAATGGACACGGCTTTTTAGGACAAAAACCTGTCGTTAGAAGGACCTTACGCAACCTGTAACCGTTTAACTCTGCTCTCTGTCGTAGGGGAGAGGGGAGCATGGGAACACTCACCCGTTGGAACACATTACTTTTCTCACCAGCACAGGAACGGCTCGGCTTTTCTCGCACACATCTCTCCCGCTACACTCCGAATAAACATTCCACTGAATCACCTGGTTCTCCTCCTACAGAAAAGGCAAAACCTCTCTCTCTCGTCCTACAGAAGGCAAAGCCTCAGAGTCTTCCTCTACCCATCCTGGTCGCAATCCAATAGCGGAATAGTTAAAGGCAAATCCCGGGATTAAACTGGTGCTACGGGCGCTTCGTAGTGATAGCTTAGCTGCGGAACGACCTGAAAGTGGAAAGGAAAGCAAGAGAAATCTTTGGGAACGCTGAAATTAAGGCCTTAACCTTCAATAAGGTCGGATGTGGTACGATGGCGAGACAGGGCGATCAAAGAAGACAAAATACGCGAGAGAGCACGTCGTTTGAGAGAGCACGCTGATCTCTACATCAATGCACGCTGATCTCACCACCTCTCGCGGTGGGTGGGAAGCGTTGGAAAGGTCGATGGTTGCGGGCCCAAACATTACGTGAATAAGCTGGAGTGATTCTAGATAGGTACGGACCTTACAATTTTCCTAGCGGTATCCTTCCTACTAGTCGGGCTAATCTCGACGTTTGCCTTCAAAAGAGTCGTGACCAAGTATATGCGTATCGTCACTCGTCAATTCCTTCAATGGGAACCCGTTCTGGCTGGTTTTCCGTCGTTCCCCCACCCCCTCCCCATTTTGTAAGCCTGAAATTCATCACGAAACTAATTAGGAAGCGAAAGAGAAAGTGTCGACTAGCTAAGAATCGGTCCAGGTAGATAGCCATATTATATCGAAGTGGATAAAGGGGCTTTGCTGGTAATGACGATTCATCCCATGTACTTTTTAGTTATGCCATTCACATGAATGCAAGCTTCAAGCTAGGCCGACATGTAGGACACAAACATGCATGGATACGCCCGGACGGATACAGCTGGTACGAACTGACACTGCATAACAGACGAGAGACAGTGAGATCATCCCAAAAATAAATATCGAACAGTGATTGTTCCGAAACTGAGACGGAGGCACCACTTTAATTTCTGCTTTATCATTTGTTTTGTTAGCCTATGAATTCTGGATCCAGCGCAGTGTGCGGGGGGGGGGAGGGAGGGAAGTTACATATTGCTCAGGGCAAAAGTAACTCACATGTTACCAAGGGGATCACGGACCAATCCTAACTAAGGGGGAGCCCGATTGAAATGAAAACGGATTGATCAAACCCACAGTTTTCCCATCTTCAAGGTTGGGCTTAGGACCCGGTTGCAGACATGAGAAACTCTGACACCATAAAACAGACCATTCTACCCCTCCCCCCAACCACATTTCACTCAACCTTCATCGAACTCATAGATTTGTTTGATGGACCTTTTCCAGTGTACACTTTTAGAAAGGACGAGATCACAAAAAAACTCGTTCGTCAACTTTATGGTGGGGGTTTAATGGAGCGTATCGAAAGCACCGAGCAATTCATGCCAAGAAATGCCTATCTATTACATCGACATTTTTCGAAGGGGCGTTCACTTCGAATAAGCGTGCTGTACACATCGACATGCACTCTATGAGATAAGAATCGCTCAGTGAGAAACTGATCGAGAGTGACTGAAAAACAGAAGAGGAACAGCAATGACGAATCACTACTAGATGTGATGAATACAAGAAGAATAACAGGATTATCCAATCAGCCCATCTAGTTTTATCGACAGTGAGAGTTCTGTTCGTCGCACTATGACAATGCACCCGTTTGCGAATTGTTCTGCAAATAAATCTACATGATAAAGTATTTTTTGCTTTTTTGATCGCGTGCGACGAACATTTTTCTCAATTGTACCGCTGTGACTCGCATGCGAATCACGCTGTCCCACAGGAAGCGTTTTCTGGAATTCGAGAAGAAAGCGAACCCAAAAACAGTCACTTTCATTCACATTCAAAGCAGAATTAATTACACTTTGCCAAAACCAAACCGAATGAGCTCAATTGCATATTGAAGAGCACATTCTATTCTATCAAAAAATTACATAGGGGCTTTCTACACCGACGACATCAGAAGATTTTCCCACGGAAACATGGTTCACGGTACGAGCTCAACGAGGTCGTCGAGAAACCATAGACGATTACGACGTCTCTGAAACGCTGGTCAAAAGCCATTTGCATAGTCAGAGCTAGTGTCCCTAAGAAGCCATTCACCAGTTATCCGATTGAAGAAATTATGTAGCAGCTTCAGAATGGAGCGATTATGGTAGGCCTCCTTGAGCTCGACGGTGATGACAGATGACGTCATATTCTGGAGACGGTGAAAGCAGCGAAGGTGGGCCTGATTCTACTTATGGGGGGACATCTAAGGAATATCCGATACCAATAACAGCGGCCATCCTTGCGACAAAAACTCTGATGATATGCGCCATGGGCGAAGTGACTCCTTTTTTTGACCCTCCTGTATGTGTGCCTGTATGTACGTTTGCATGCATGTGAGTGATATGTCTGCTTATCCGTCCACGAATAGAGTAATAAGGAAGCTCAAGGAATAAAAACAAATCTAAACCGGGTAGCTCTCAAGACTTCAGCTATCAAATTTTTGCATTGGCATGATTGTGATGACACCGAAATGGCTACACAAACACCTACTAAGCACACTCTCAATCATTTCATCAATGCTGGCACTTGCCGCTTGAGGGCAGTGGAGGGAGAAATGAGAGTAGGGAGGGGAGGCGGAAAACCAATTCCCAGCAGACCTAGGTTACATATAAGTATAGGTATCATCCTTACGACAAGTCATGGCAATAATACCATCTATATACAGGGGTGGCCAAAAAAAAAGAGACACTTCACTCCACAATTCAGATAGCCTTTAGAATTGTTCTGTCCCTTTTCTTTTGTGAAAATTTTAGAACTTTCTTTTGTAGAAAGTTTTAGAGTCTTTTGCATTTTGAAGTCCCACATTGTTTATTACACATTTCAAATAGCATTGAGTACACTTTGCTAAACTCAAAACTGACTGCCCCCAGCTTGTTATCAAAGAGCACATCCC